CTAAAATATAATCTAAATTCTAATAAAAATTCTATTTTAATTTCTAATAAAAATTCTAATTCTAAATTCTAAATCTTAATTCTATTTTTAAAATCTAATCTAAATTTTAATTCTATTTCTAATTCTAAATTAAAATTCTAACCCTATTTCTAATTTTAATTTTACCTTAATTAATCATATTCTAAATCTAATTAATTAAATTAAAATTCTAACCTAATTTCTAATTATCTAATATTACAACCTTACTATTATATATAACTAAATCTTGAGCTAATTATTAATTATTAAAAATTAATATATAAAAAAAGCTAAATAAAATCCTAACTAATCTAAACAAATTAAAATTAAACCTAAATTAGCAAACGACTGTTAAAACTAAATCACAAAATACAACGAAATAAAAACGAATGAAAGGGTTGAATATCGAAATGCTTGAAAGCGAGAAACTAACACACCAAAATTATCAGTACGGACTAAACCACCAGGAAGAATACGATCTTCGTTCGATTTCAAAATAAATCTTATCATTTGAACTGATTTAAACTGTCTAAAATGCGAACAAAGCGGTTGTAATCCCGATAAACTCATTCTGGCTAATAACATGGACAATATGCAAGAAATGATCGACCTAGATGATATGCAGATGAATGCGAAACGAGAGTCAGTCAAGGTTAGAGAATGTGGGGGCAAATTTTAGAATACAACAGGTACACAAACGTATGATAATAAACACAAATTGTTCAATAACGATCAATCACAAACAATCAAATGCAAAACTATACGTAGAGTTTATTCCCAATGATTAAAAAAAAACACAAAAAACAATTTATCGAACACCTCGTATGCACTCAATAACGTTTGAAAATTTCCTTTGTTTTGTTGATCTCATAACCAATCACATTCAAACGGATTATGATTATATCGGTGTGATTGAATCTTGTTAATCAAAATTGATTCAGAATTACTCAAAATTTTAGGTTTAATTTCAAATCTACGACATGTGCTTGATCTTATAATTGAGAGAAAAAAACTATCATTGTATTAAAATTGAAATTGATTAATCATTTTAGATCAATTTTTAAAATAAACAGATCAAATATATTGAGAAGAATATTCTAATATAGTATTATACAAAGTTCCCATTTACTAAAAAAAGGTGAGTGTAATAGTAAAATTTATAAAAGTGTGTTAATTTTAATTAAACAAGAGTCAATAAGAATATCCACGAATTATTGGTAGTAGCTCAAAACCTAAACAATGAGACCTAAATGTGCATAAACTTGTCTATAATATACTAGTATTGTTTTAGTGAAAGCATCTAATAAGAATTCAATCATTCAAATCCAACAACTCTATATTGTTTAATTTAAAGGCAAATAATGGATGGACTGATAAAAGTTTTACCGAATTGCTTGAATTGTTGACACAAATGCTTCCCGAAGGTAACGTAATGCCAAATCGTTATTACGAGGCGAAGAAACTATTGTGTCCGATGGGTTTGGAGTATGAAAAGATACATGCATGCCCTAATGATTGCATACTATACAGAAAAGAGTATGTAAACTATAATCACTGTCCGAAGTGCAAGGCGTCACGCTACAAAGAGAAAGATGGTTATTCTAGTGATGATGAGGTGGTAAAAAAGGGTCCTCCCGCGAAAGTAGTGTGGTACCTACCAATAATTTCAAGGTTTAAGAGATTATTCGCTAATGAAAATGACGCAAAGAATCTTAGATGGCATGCGGAAGAAAGAAAATCTGATGGGAAAATTCGCCATGTAGCTGATTCTTTGCAATGGAAGAAAATAGATTCTTTGTTTCCAAATTTTGGCAAAGAGTCGAGAAACCTTAGACTTGGACTTTCTACTGATGGAATGAATCCATTTGGTAATCTAAGTACTAACCATACTTCTTGGCCCGTTCTCCTGATGATTTACAACCTATCTCCTAGGTTGTGCATGAAGCGTAAATATATTATGTTATCGATGATGATTTCGGGCCCAAAACAACCAGGAAATGACATAGACGTTTATGGAGACACTTAGGTCTATGGGTCTCTCGCAAAGCACCGAAAATAAAAAATGCATTGAACAAATGGAAGTTGTCGATGGAAGCGGAAGAGGAAGTTGTTCAGCTGCAAAAGGAAGCACAAAAGAAGTGGAAGACGATGTTCAGAGATTGTTACTCATGGTTCTGAAAATGGGCGACACACACTTGGAATTAAAATTAAGTCATTGTGCAAGTGTCATTAATTTTTATATGTCAGCTAAGTGTATCAGAGAGTTATTGGTGGGTTTTCAATGGCTTGACGTGTCTATTCTGCAAGTTTGGTCCACGTAAGTACATTTTCTTTTTTTTATTACTGTTAATACATATTAATATGTTATATCTCTCATCACTTTGACTCTAATATTTACTTTAAAATTATTCAGGTATATTCATCGTGTATGTATTGATAATTCCACATCGGAAGTATATGGATTTATGGACCCTGCTAGGTGTGTGTATGTTGATAATATGCAAAAAAATGAAGCAGAGGTTAAAAAATACATACAAGATAAGTTACGTGACGAAAACAGAGTGTGTCACTTACTACCATTTATTCATGGGTAAGTTTGTATGAAATTGTGTTTTTTATTTTTTTATTTTTGATAACATAGATATTTGATGTGTTTTTTGTGTTTCCACGCACACGTACAGAGACCATTGGAAATTAATAGTCATTTGTCCAAGAGACAATATTGTGGTCGTCTTTTGTTCACTTCATCGGGAACTTAATCCAACCATGAAGAAAATTGTTACAAAGTAAGTTTATATTTTATGTGAATTTTGTTATAGTATATGTTATATCTCATATACATAAAATTTTACAAAAGTAATTTCATATTTTATGTTGCTCTATATGAATTTTTTTCTGAATTAGTGCTTTCGGGGTTTATCAAATGGCAAATGGAAATAGAAAAAAGGCTACATGGCTCCAACCCAAAGTAAGCGTCATGTAAATTATAATTTTATATTTAATTTTATCATAAGTATTCACTAACTGTGTCATTTATTTTAGACAAGGCGACAACATAACTCTATTGACTGTGGATACTATGTTATGAAAAATATGTTGGATATTGTCTCTGCCAACATAACCGAGTCTTGGTTGCAGGTAAATAAAAATAACTTTACTTTGTTATTTACTTTGCATTTGCAACTTAAGGTGAATTTTCAAAGAATGACTTTATATTGCTATTTACATATTGTAGGTATTTGATGATCCAACAGAATTAACACAAGATGATTTGTATGATTTGCGACTCCGTTGGGCAAAATGTTTCTTTGAGTTATATAAAAATTAAACTTTATATGGTGAGTTATATAGAATTTTCTATGTATACCTAATTTGAGTTTCTTGACTTTGGTATTGTCTGCTGATGTTTATTGTTATTATTATTTATTGTCAGCAAATGTGATTTTGGTGTTCTCTACCGAAGCTAGCTACAACGGATTTCTTGTGGATTGCATGTTGGTATTCAAGTGTGGTAAAGGACTTATAAATGGTTGAATATTGAAGAAAGAATATGTGTACTAGATTAGTACTTTTGTTCCTCAATTAGTACTTTTGTAAATCAATTTCTTGTGGATTGAACAGTTGTATGTATACTAGATTAGTACTTTTGTAAATCAATTTGTTCATGTTGAAGAATATGTGTATCCTAGCTATTTGGTGCAATGAAACTAAAAGGTTAGTTGAAAAAATATAAAAAATTGCATACCAAATAGGGACTAAAATTTGGTATGTGTGATGTTGGAAAAATATGAAAAATTAAGTACCAAAAAAATTACAGGGATTCCATATCGATTCGGATAAAAATTAGTCTAAATATTTAAGAAAAACAACCTACATTTAACATCGGGTGGGTGTGCTTAAAAACCGATGTAAAAACATAAATTTTGAAGACACGTAGCACACCTTTTACATCGGGTCAAAAAGGAAACCGATGTAAAAAAACATACCTATGACACCTTTTACATCGGGTCAAGAAGGCAACCGATGTAAAAAAACACACCTATGACACCTTTTACATCAGTTCTACTGACCAACCGATGTAAAAAATCACCTATGACACATTTTACATCGGTTCCGAATAACGACCGATGTAAAAAGTGCTTTTTTTTATAAAAAAAAATTAATAATAATATATTTCACATCAGTCTTAACTGTCAACTGATGTAGTAGATGTATTTTTTACATCGGTCTATGACCCGATGTAAAATGTCTTTGATTTACTACATCGCTTGGCTTTACATCGCACCCAGACCCGATGTAAAATGTGTTTTTGGCCCGATGTAAAAAGTCATTTCTGCACTAGTGAAATGAGTCTCACTAATAACTTTACATCATTAAATATTAATAATTTTGTTTGTTAAACCAAAATATCTTATTTATAGAATAATAAAGTACAAAGTTTGTTTCTACTTCTTTTCTTTTAATACTTTAATGATTTGAAAATGGAAAAAAAAACTAGTTGATGGTGGTTGAAACATGAGAAATTGATATGAAAATGAAAAAAAAAAGTTGTCATCATTTTAATTATTTTGTATATTTGCAAAAAAAGAAAAGGAAATTTTGTAAATTTGGTTGATTTTGTAAATTTATCTGGAGAAAATTTGATAATTTTAATTATAAAAAGAGTTATTTAGGCTTGGATAAATTGATAAAAATAAATAAAATTTTGTATATTCTATATGCAAAATATGTATAAATTTGAGTACACATATAAATATTTACTTCATTATTATTCAGTACATGGATCAATACCTCACAATATTTAATCTCACAGAAAAAAAAAAACTGTAAATCCAAGTGGAAAATTTTGGTTACTGGTGCTCTCTTCTGGACATGTACAAACTCACTCATGTAACCAAAGTGGAAGAAAAAAAAACTTTGGGAGTATATTGTATATAAAATTATGCATATAAGATTTAATGTGTTGACTTGTCTTATTGTTGCTACCTTTGTAATTCTTGTTTACAAAGAGGGCAGCATGATATAATTCTTAGCCATTGATCCACACATTTTAGATGGAACATATGTGAACAAGACAACTGCCTAACTTCTTCTTTGTCTTTGTATTTGGCCAAACATATGCAGCATTCCTGTCACCACAACCATTAACACAAAATTATACATCAAACTACATAGTTGATCATATATAAAAATATTTGTGATTCTTAATTTAACAATCACTAAGTAGACGAAATGAGATACGTGTTTAGGATGACTAAGCAAACCAGACTGCCAGTTTAGTTTGCTAGTTTTGTCTGTTTTACAGACTGAATTAATAATTATGATCTCTTTCTCTACTTTGTTTGTTCTATTTTATATATATATATTTTTAGAACGGTCATGACCTTTTGTCACTTATAGGTTTTATGAATGACAAGATCCGTCTGAGATATTTTTTCAATAGACTTTGGTACAACGGCTGAAATGCCTGCTTGCTACCCTTACACATCAATAGTTGTGATGGATTGTCTTTGTAAATTTTGTGTTTATCTTAATGATATCTAACTCAAGTTAAAATTAGGTTTAAGTAAATGTACACACGATTCTAAAAAATTTGAGTTTGAATCTTGAGGTTTAAGAAAAATCAAATCAACATCGACTCTTCATTATAAAACTATAAGATGATATATGCGTAATCTATGTATGCCACTTACCGGCTCATCGCGGATCAATCTTTCACTGCATTGAGAATCATTGTCAAGATCTAATTTGGTATGATCAACTTTAAATCTCCAAGATGGAAGTTGTGAGATTTGATCATCAGATGCACCTCTAGAAGAGGATCCCAAGTTCATGTCATAACCGAGGAGGGTGGTAATGAGTGGAACACAACAACAAAGCAACAAGAAGAGAAGAAAAGGGAAAGAGTAACAAATTGCATTCCAAACAAGAAGGATTATGCATAGGATTTGGAGTTTTGGAGCTTGTTGTAATGTTCCAAAACGTGAGTCAAATGACCAAACATTTCCCATCACAAACCATATTGCAAAGAATAGCTCTAGTGAACTTTTGCATTTGCTCATCAAATGTGTGCTCCTATACACACTGCATTGCACAAAAGAAATTAGATTCATTCATATTATCATTCTAATTTTTAAATATACATTCGATAAACACTTACACTCAGCTAATCACAATCTAATCACAATCGCTAATTTATTTAAAAATTTTGACTTTTATTTTAATTATTTGAAAAGTAATACATCTGATACATTTAACAATTAAAATTTTATCTTTTTAATTGATGTATCTATTTTGAAATGAATTTTTTAAACAAAAAATATGGCAATTTGGTGAGTCATATCCTTCTCATTTCTTTATCTTCTGCCCTTACTCCATGTGCCATATCTGAGGGCACTTAGGCCCACTTCACCTATAGGAGGGGCTTGGGAAAAAAATAGAATATTACTTTTCTATCCTTAGCACTCACTTATCTTTCTATTGTTTTATTAAAATAATCAAATTCATTTTCAAGAAGATAATGATTAGATTCTTCAATGCATGATAGAAGATTCTATCTTGAAACTTCCACACAAGCCTAAATTTAAAAAGTCTTAATTTTGTAACACAATTTTTAACGGGAGCAACTAAATAGAATGAACTAAGTTATTTTACGTGGGTTATTTTATATGGGTTTAAATTGAAATGAAAGATTTTAGCAATTCAAAATTGAATTAATAAGTTTTTGTAATTGTTTATAAGGAATTCAAACTTGGTATTAAATAGTTAATAAAAATCTATTATTTATCTTAAATAATGAATAAGAGTACGTTGCTTGTGTAGAACACATAAATTAATTTTAGAGTATCTCATATGTCATGTCAGCTCTACTATAATGCAAATTCCTTATTACTAACGCAAACTATACAAAATTTTGGTTTAATAACTATGCGTTAAAGTTGCTCTAAGTACTGTATTAAGGAATACCACTTAATTATAATCCTAATGAGTTCAATTCAAAGCTGCAAATTTGAAGTTGCAAATTCGAACCGAGGAATCTTATTCAAACTCAAGTGAACTTTTTTCATTAAATTTCTAGAAGAAAAAGCACAATACCATAAAAGAAAGTTCCTAAAATACCTGTTTTCTTCATTGTTCATTTGTTGTTCCACATCATGAGAAAGAGCAAGACCACCACCATGATTCAAACCAATTTGACAATACCGAACACAAAGCAACAACAAATTAAGAACACATCCAATGTCATAACCAACAATCCAAACCCTCATAGGCCTAACAGGTTTCTCACTCTTTGAAATCACCAAAGTAAATGTTGTGCTTGTAATTTGAACCAACAAAGCAACCAACTCCAACATCATCCAAGTCCTAGAATTAAAAGGGTTAGAACCAAGATCAGATCTTGGCCCATTTTGGTAATGAAACACTCTTCTCAAAAAACTGAACCATCTTGATCTTGATATCCTCATAGCCATTCTAGTCATAAAAGAAGGTTGAGATTGAGACAAACTAGGCACGTTTTGGAAGCTACTACTAGCCATGCTGTTTTCTCCTATTGCATAATTTGAAGAAAATGAAACCATGTTGCTTGAACTTGAATATAAAGTTTACAACTTTATCAAAATTTGAAGTGACCCTTTTGTCTCTATATATTCATATCATCAAAACTTCTTCACAACCTCAAAAACATGGAAGAAGAAGAAGAAGAGGTTTATATATATATAAGTATATAGATAGAACTTAGAAGGTGAAGATTGGTATGAAGAGTATGTCAAGGAAGGTAAAGTAAGAATCTCAGATGGTGACCAAGAAAATCGACTGGTTAACTTTACTTTGATTATAAGAGACTCTCACAACAAGGTTCTGTTTGGAGGGAAGTTAACCGTTCGCCAACTTCATCTATATAGCTATATTTTCATTTTTAAGTAAGAGTTGTTCAAAAAGCTATTTTCAGAATTTATTACTCCCAACAAAAACTATTAGCACTTTGAATTTCGTCGACAAGTGTTAAGAGATAATTAGTTTTTGTTGATTTGTATTAGAATGGATAAGATTTAAACTATTTAAGGTGTAATATTTGAGTATATCTAAAAAAACTATATAGTTAATTTGAATTTGTGGTTGATTAAGAGATTTGTGGTGTGGTAAGGGTTGCCGACCTAATCCAACCAGAAGCAAAAATATTGTGTCATGTCATGTTTGATAGAATTGTGGGTCCTTTCTTTTCTCTTATTTTCTGCGTGTTAAAATTTTGAAGCATATATTAGTCACACAAATTATACATTTTGTGGGGTAGTTTTTATGTTAGATTGTTTTGATTTTTTTTGTTTAAAGTGAAGGAAAGACCGACATCATACTAGGTATTGATTCATGTTGTGTGGACTATGGATTGAGACAGGTTCATCTTGTTTTACTTTGCAAAATGGGTTATGTTTATTTACTAGTTAATGTTTACGAGATTTGGTTGTAGTTTTTTAGAAATTGAATAAAGATTAATTCATGTTGAAAATTGGTTTATTGGAAGGTTGTGCTCTATCTCTTTTATTTCAATTGTGTTTCTGTGTGTAGAATTAGTTTTGGCGTCACAATAATATATGATTGTATAGTGTCGGTATATTTTGTCCGAAAACGTTTATTGCAGTCATGAAAAAGAAATATGAGACATTTTTTAGATTATTCATGAAGAAAATATTGAGGTAAAAGGATAAGGTTTGGCACTATTATGAAATAATTAAAATTCGCGTATTATTGGCAATTATTATTAGTGGATGGTTAAAATTCATTTAAATATAATTAGGTAATGGTAAATTTACGCGTTACCATTAATTTAATTTTGTCTAAGTGTTATAAATACGCATTGTAATAAGTCGATTAAAAGATGAAATGGAACAGTGATTCATTCATTTTCTCTCTGCATGGTTATTTACCTGAAAATTCTGTTACTTTCATTCCTTCTCATTTTTAAGAATTGATAACAATAATAGTGAATCAATAGAATAATAAATTTTTATTCTAACAAATTGGAATCAGAGTAAGACGATCCACAGCCACGCACGACGGCGAACATGGCAGAAACTTCAAAAATCAGTGATCAAATTCATGTGAAACTTCCAATCTTTGACGGAAGCAATTATGAAATATGGACAGCGCAAATGAAGGTTGTCTTTAGGTATCAGGGTGTTCTAGATGTTATTCGCAGTGGAGTGACACCGCTAGACGCAGCATCAACGGAGGCAGCAAGGGCAACTCACCGTGAACAAATGAAGAAAGCGACAATGCGATATACTTCCTCCATCAATGTGTAGATTCGAATGTCTTGGAAAAGATAATTGAATATGAGACGGACAAAGAAGCTTGGGATGTTCTTGCAACCACTTATGTCGACGATAGACAAACCAAGAAGGTGAAATTGATGGCTTTAAGGCGTCAATTAGGTCAATTGCAAATGGAACCAAATGGGACAGTAGCGCAATTCGTGAACAGGTTAACTATACTAACCAACCAGATGAAGAGTTGTGGTGAAGTAGTTACTGATTCAATGAAGGTTGAAAAGGTTATCAAAGGTTTAACACCCAAATTTGATAATTTAGTTGCTGCAATTGAACAATCTAAGGACCTAGACACGTTGAAATTGGAACAATTAATAGGTTCTTTAGAAGCTCGTGAATTGAAATTGAAATTGAAGAATAGAGATGGTGTCAAGAAAGATGAGAAAGAAATTGAGAAGGCATTATTTACACAATCTCAGAAAAAAAGGAAGTGGTAGTAATGAATCCTGGAAGAAGAAAGGTAAAGAAAAGTGGAAGAGTAACAAGAATGAAGGTGGAAATTCTAAGCAAGAATCTCATAAGAAAGGAGGTGAAAGTGATGGCAAAGGAATGAAGAAATCCAAGAAACACGTTTAATGCTATAACTGTCAAAAATGGGGTCACTTTGCAGATGAATGTGTGAATTCTAAGGTGTCTAGGAAGAGAAATGAAGAGGCACAGTTAGCTTGTGACTCAGATGAAGATGTTGTTGCATTAGTGCAACAATTGATGAAAAGGTGATGATGCTGATGACAGTTACTGAAGATGGTGGAATAGAATGGTGGTACTTGGATATAGGGTGCTCTTATCACATGACAAGCCATTTAGAATGGTTTTGTGAAATTGACAAAACTGTGAGAAGGAAGATTAGATTTGGTGATGGTAGCTATGTCATTGTAGAAGGTATTGGAAAGGTAGCCATTAGAAGGGAAGACAAAACAAAGGTAATAGTGAGTGATGTACTTTATGTTCCACAAATGAACAGTAACTTGCTTAGTTTAGGGCAATTACTAGAGAAGGGTTATTCAATGAATATGAAAGGGAATTACATGGAAGTATTTGCTAGCAAAGATAAGGTAGTATTGAAAGTGTCTATGTCAAGAAATAGAACTTTCAAGGTTGGTGTGAATTATATTGATAAAAAATGTCTAATTGCACAAGTAGATGATATAGCGTGGAAATGGTATAAGAGGATGGGACATTTGAACTTCAATAGCTTGAAGATGTTGCAGAAGAAGAATATGGTGGTTGGATTACCTCAAATTGAAGAACCGATGGAGATATGTGGAAAATGTTGTGAGGGAAAGCAACCAAGGAAGTCATATAAGTCTGCAATACCAACTAGAGGAACAAAGAAGCTTGCTATCTTCATTCAGATGTGTGTGGACCCTTTGAAGTCAAATCCATTGGAGGTAATTCCTGTTTTATGTCCTTCATAAATGACTATTATAAGAAGATGTAAATTTATCTTATACAGAAAAAGAGTGAAGTGTTCATCATTTTTAAGCTATTTAAATTGTTAGTGGAAAAACAGTGTGATAGTATAATTAAATTGCTTAGAACTGATGGTGGTAGTGAATATACATCACATGAGTTTGAAAATTTCTATAAAGATGAGGGTATAGTTCATGAAGTAATGGCCCCACATACTACTCAACACAATGGTACAACGGAGAGAAGACATAGAACTCTTCTTAATATGGTGAGATGTATGCTAAGAGAAACAAATCTTCCACATAAGTTTTGGGTAGAAGTAGTATAAACAGCTACTCATATACTGAACAGGTGTCCAACCAAGAGACTAGAGGGCATCAAGCTTGAAGGAGCATGAAGTGGTTTGAAACCAAGTGTAAAGCATTTTAGAATGTTTGGCTCACTGTGTTACAAGCATGTGCCTGAACAAAATAGAAGAAAACTTGATTCTAGAGCACAAGTAATGATATTGATAGGCTATCATAGCACTGGTGCATACAAACTATATGATCCAATTCACAAGAAGATAGTAGTGAGTAATGATGTAATTATAGATGAAACTAGAGAATGGAATTTGAAGGAATCAACTGAGCAAGCTACCAGTAGAACAACTATCATTCAACTTGACAGTGACCAAGTTGACAACGAGGAAGAAGTGAATGTGCCTGAACCAATTGTTCTTAATGATGATAATGTGAACAATGTCAATGAAAACAATGTTGAGAATGATGAAAATGACAATGTGGAACAATTGAGAAGATCTAACAGAGTAAGATTCCCATCAGTGAGACTACAAGGTTATGCCATGTACCCTGCAGGCATGTGTGAAGATGTTACTGATATAATGCACTTGGCTCTCAAGGCAGAGTCAGAACCTATAAAACTTGAACAAGCACTTTCAAATCCAAAGTGGAAGGAAACAATGGTGGATGAATTAAGGTCAATTGAAAAAAATGAAACTTGGCAGATGGTGAATCTACCAAGTAATAAGAGAGCCATTGATGTGAAATGGGTCTACAAGACGAAGATGAAGCCAAATGGTGAGATTTCAAAATGTAAAGCTAGGCTGGTTGCAAAGGGCTTCTTGCAACAACCTGGACTTGACTTTAATGAGGTATATGCCCCAGTTACAAGTATTTAGACTGTGAGATTGATAGTAGTATTGGCTAGTTTGAGAAATTATGTGAGATTGTTTCTTTTAATTGTTTTTATATATATTTTCCTGTTTTAGAGTTATATATATATATATATATATATATATATATATATATATATATATATATATATATATATATATATATATATATATATATATATATATATATATATATATATATATATATATATATATATATATATATATATATATATATATATATATATATATATATATATATATATATATATATATATATATATATATATATATATATATATATATATATATATATATATATATATATATATATATATATATATATTTCTCTAGTTTTTTTAGGTTATATTTATTTCTTTAGTTTTTAATTTATATTTACTTTTTCTTATTTTAATTTATATATACGTATATATACTTTTTCTTGTTTTAATTCATTTCTCTTGTTTTAGTGTCATGATTATTTTTTTCTTTTCCATATTTCATTTTATTTTTAGCTTTATGTCAATTTTGTAGTAATATAGATTCTTGTGGATAGCATGTGTTTGTCGTGTTATCCTTCTATTTTTTGTTCCAATTATTTTGAGTTGATGTAAAAATTGTAGTATTGTTGTAATGATGATAATATATTTAATTTGCTGTTTGATTT